GAACTTCTGCATTAAGTAAATCACTTAGTTTAAGATATAGCATGAAGTATGGTGATGTGCCCTGTTTAAGGGAGGGTTTGTATGGGATTTTGAAGTGAGCTGTCTTGTGAGAATCATATATGGTTCTCATCAATCATAGGTGCTTTTCTAGCTAGGGCTTTAAGTAGGGCTATCACTTAATCTCATTTAACTCACACAATTAATTAAAAAATAATAGTGAGTTAAAAAGGTAATCATGATTAATTATAGTTTTAGTAACACTGTTAAAATAGAATGCCAAATGGAATGTATTAAATATTTTTTTTTTTACATTTTAAAATACATTGATTTCAATTACAAGACAGAATACAAAGTGCATGGTGCTCACTTTATATTATTACAAATATCTTAGTCTGGATAAGTTTTGGAAACTGAAGGGTATGCATATGTTCATTTTAAACAAAATGTGGTTTGGAAAGTAGGTATGCATAAAGAAGCATAGAACAGTCTAGAAAAGGCCAAGGGGAGGGGGGTGAACTCAACGGCTATATCTAGACTGGCATGATTTTCCGCAAATGCTTTTAATGGAAAAGTTTTTCCATTAAAAGCATTTGCGGAAAATCATGCCAGTCTAGATATAGCCGTTGAGTTCACCCCCCTCCCCTTGGCCTTTTCTAGACTGTTCTATGCTTCTTTATGCATACCTACTTTCCAAACCACATTTTGTTTAAAATGAACATATGCATACCCTTCAGTTTCCAAAACTTATCCAGACTAAGATATTTGTAATAATATAAAGTGAGCACCATGCACTTTGTATTCTGTCTTGTAATTGAAATCAATGTATTTTAAAATGTAAAAAAAAAAATATTTAATACATTCCATTTGGCATTCTATTTTAACAGTGTTACTAAAACTATAATTAATCATGATTACCTTTTTAACTCACTATTATTTTTTAATTAATTGAGTGGAGAAGTACTAGCATGTGAAAAACAAAGCCATATATGGAAAGGTTGAATCTGATTGTCATGTGCTATAAAACAGCAAGGGGAGGGGCTTCTTGCTCGAGGGGCTCTGGCTGATTTTAGTACCAGGGGCTCTGCCTTTGTGCACATTGAATAAAGTCTTGTTGAATTGAATTGAATTGAATTGAAGTATTGAAGACCCTTGATTCTGCCCAGCATCTGACTCTCTGGGAACCACAAAATCCCAACAGAAACAAATTAAGACTTTAATGGAGTTGCCCTGTATATGATCTGTCTGAATGTGGCTCTTGAACTCACTGCTTGGTACAAAGCAATGAATGGTCAGTTGAGTATCATACCTCTCTCTCTTGCTCCTCCTCCCTCACTTTTCTCACCTTGCTTCCCTCTTGGGTTTAGTCAGAGGTAACTAACTGGTGAACACCTCCATTGTACTGCTCTTTTGCAGTTATGTTTAGCTTTCCCTGTTTCCCAAGGACTCTGCTGTCACTGAATTCCTCAACTATAACAACAGTTCTTAGCCTTCACTGTCTACTACTTAAGAGAGAACTCTTCTCATTTCAACACATTATGCCTTTCTCTTACTGTGCCTCTTGTTACTGAACTTTACATTTCTTTTTACCATTTCTGTCTCTGGTATGCATATACCTTAGTGAAAATGCAGGAACCAATTGCAAGACTGTGAAAGTTACTTTAAAGCTCTCCCTAATACCATTAGTGTATAGGTATGGAAGGGGAATATCTTAAAAACATTTGTCTTTGGCTAATTTTCTAGCTCTATGCACAGGATGCACAGTGCCTATATAATGTAGTCCTCTGTTTATTACTTTTTAAATTAATGTAAAACAAGAAAAGAAAGTACTGTAAACTAGGCAGGGGTCACAATCTTGAGTCCAGGAAAATATTTAGAAAGCATCTGTAACTCTTATATTAGCAAAATATTATTAGACTCTCAGCATATTATTTAGAGATAGTAAAGTTCCAGTTTTCTAACCATTCAATGTCAAATGGAGTTTCATGAACAGTGACACTGGGTTCCAGGCAGGGCTGGTGACAGATTCACTGGACCCTGGAGAATATGCATGGGGACATTAGCGCCAGATTCCTCAGGAGGGACATGGGCTCATGTGGAAGGGGCAGGGCTAGGAGGCAGCCTCCTCCAGCTATCCCTCAATGCAGTCTGGACTGCACCATATGGCATTCCGGCAGCAATTTAAAGGGCTCAGCGCTCGAGCTGCTGCCTATAGCAACCCAGAGCCCCAGATCCTTCTAAATCACCAGGCCCTGCCGCTCTGGTCCCAGGCATAGTAATGTGAATTACAGTGTGGATTGTCACCAGCTTCTATGTGAGGTGACATAGATTGTTGACCTGGAGGTTTACTCAGGCATATTAATATGGTACAAATACTCTTCTGATTAACCTGAGACCAGAGAGTGGAGAAGTGGCCTCAATTTTTGCACAACCCCAAATTAAACCAAACATTTCTTTTTCAGCTGACAATAGGTTTAGCTACATTCTCTTCCCAACAGACATTGGGTTTTCTCTATGATCTTATTTTCAGGCTGCTGGAGGGGTAGGGGGTAGGTGGCTTAGGGCAGAGTTCAGGGGTGAGCAGGGGCAGGGAGCTTAGGGCAGAGGGTTGGGAGGTGTGTGGGGGGAGCTCACTGCAGGGGGAGGGAATGCATAAGTCAAGGCAGGTGGAAGGTGCAGGACTCAGGGCAAGAGGCTAAACACAGGGTGGTGGGGGAGGGCTTACTGGGGCCAACCGTAGTGGTGAAGGTGGCGCAACTCCCATAGTGACTCCTCCCAGGGGACCATGGCAGAACTCTCCTGCCAGCAGGACCCCCCCAATTACCCTCCTCCACAGCCTGCAGGTTGTTGGGGAGAGGAGGGGATGAGGTTCCAGCAGCAGCAGACCCCTCCAGCTGTACCTCCCTCTTCCCATGCAGCCTCTCTGAGGGAGAGCCGGCTCCAGAGACTACCACCCCCTCTGCCCTGGTCTGCAGGCTGCCTGAAGGGGTGGGAGTGAGTCTTCAGGGGCTGCTCCCCTCCTGCAGCGCCCTCTCTATGGCCTGGAGTCTGTTTGGGGAGAGGCCAAGCTTTGAAGGCTTCCTACCCTCCAGCGGCTTCCCCGCAGCCTGCAAACTCTTCATGGTGATGGTAGGCTCCCGCTTTGGGGCATGAGGGCTCTTTACCAATATGCTGGCAAGGGGAACCCCAGCCCTGCTGGCCACTCTCTTGGTGCTGCAGCTGCCACAAATGGCCACTCTCAGTATCACAACCTGTCCCCTAGCTCTGTAGCCAGACAGGAATCCCCCGCCCTGTAATATCCATCTTGCTTACCCCTCTTAGGTGCTTGGAGCATACAGGGCACACAGAGCAGTAAGATCAGCATAGTCTTTGAAGCCTTGACAGAAGGCCTGGATATGCTGGCTGTTGTGACCCTGGATGGCTATAAAGAGATACTCCAATTGTTGACCTCGAGGCTGCGAGAACTGCCTTGGCTGGCACCTATATTGATACAAACACACAGCTGTCCGCGGGGGGAGGAATCTCTCGCCCAGTAAAAAAAGTCTAGTACGCACAATTTAGTTATCTCTTTTGCAAGTGTAAATTAACTTAAAACTTGCTTGTAAGAACTGGCGCCACAAAACGGACCAGTACAATTTGGCATCTTAAGATAAGAAAGAGGATACGGGTCCCAGGGGTATAAAGATGGGTCCAGCAGCACATTTACTTTGAGTGTCAATCTACCATCTATTTGCTGGTCGGGTTAGGTGTTTGATCTCCTGAGGTTCCAAGGGGACGCCCACCTCGTATTCGTCTTTCCTAGGAATTGAGAGACCGGCCCTGGCCTGACACGCTGGAGTCGAGAGGCACAGAAAGGGGTAAAAATTGTACCTGGATGTGGTCCTTTGCTTAAGTATATATATACATAGAGACTTAGAGCTCTTTAAAGATTAAGCTGTCACTTAAGGGGGTAAAAATTGTACCTGGATGTGTCCTTTGTCTTAAGCGTACACATAGACTTAGAGCTCTTTAAAGATTAAGCTGTCACTTGGTACCATTATTTCTATTTTCTATCTTTATTTTCTTTGTAACCATTTTTAAGATCTATATTTGCTAGCAGTTAAGAAATAGAGCAATAGCCATTGTAACCATAGGATTTATAAGCTTCTTTAATAAACCTGTAACTGTTTAAGCTTTAACCTGACTCCTTCAGTTGCTGTAACAGAACCAAGTACAATTTAAAAGAACTCCAGCCGGTCATAGGGAGCAGACACAGGGCAGAGCTGGGCATTTGGACCGTGTCGCTTCCAGGGGACAGACCTCGGTTCTAGCAGCTAGACTTGGGTGTAATAAGCTCTCCCTGCAAACTTTGGGGTGTCTGTCAGCCTGTTGGCTGCCGCCGCGAAGGGACCCCGGTCCTAGCGGTCAAAGACAGGGATGTAAAATTTCTCAGGGCGCCCATCAGCCTCCCCTAAGGCCGCTCTCTGCGACAGGACCTCATGTCCTAGCAGTTGAAGACTTGGGTGTATAACGCCCAGGCACACGCGCTGCCCTGACCATGGGCTGACATGCCCCCCTCCCGTGCCATGTCCCGGATCACACTCCCGTCCCGGCTCTTCCCCTTTCCCAGGCACCGCCGACTGGGTTCGCTGAGGGCGAGAGGAAGCTGCACAGCAAACTGGGTGGCCGGTTAGCGCGCGCTGCACCGCAAGGCGGGGAGAAACGCGCTGCGGAGGGGGGGGGGGTGCTGCAGGGTATTTAAAAGCAGCCGGGACGGGGCGAATCGCCCTAGGGAGGAGGAGGGGGGCGGAGCCCTGGGCGCGAGGCGGCTTCCCGGCGGGGGGGCGGGGCGTGTTTGGGAGACACCAGCCGGGTGGGCGAAGGCCGCGGGGCGAGAGCTGAGCAGCAGGCTCCGCCCCCGGCCGGAGGGGTAAAGCCGAGAGCGAGGCCGGCGCGCGCGCAGAGAGAGCGGCGCTGGAGCCCAGCAGGTTTGTGGGCGCGCGGGCGGGGGCGTTACCGGCCGCCTCAGGCGCTGCCCGGAGCCGTTGCTGCCCGCGCGCAACTCCCAAGCCGGTGGTAGGAGGGCGGGGGGAGACTCGCTGCTGCTGCTGCGCGGAGCTCTCCTGCCCGCGCTCTGCCTGAGCCCGGGAAAGGGGTCAACGCTCCCCCCTGGCAACGCTCCCCCCTGGCGCGTGCCTGGCCGGCTGCATCCGCACCTCCGCGGTGCTTTCTTGGGGGAGCAGAAAAATAATCCTCTGCCTCCGTGGAGCCGCAGATCCCTTGGGCAGGGAGCGCGCTGGGGTTTCATGCACGGATTAAAAAGGGGGAGCGTGGACTAGCGCGCCAGAACCGGAAGGGACCCCAGAGGGCATCACGTCCAGTCCCCTGCCCTCGCGGCAGGACCGGTTGAGGTCTTGATTAGGGTTGGACAATAATTTTTGGTAAGGGACCACTCCAAGATTTTTGGGAAATGGTGAAGGGCCTCGCTTTTCTGTGCCGGAAATACCGGGGCTAGGCTGGAGGTTGGGTGCAGAAGGGCGAACGGGGTAAGGGACTGGGGTGCAGGAGATGGTGTGAGAGCTGAGAGGGAGTTTGGGTGAAGGAGGGGGTTGTGACTGGGTCAGGGAGTGGGGTGTAGGGTCAGGGAGCAAGTGCCAGTGCAGGAAAGGATTCTGGCCTTGGGGAGGGGCTCTAGGAGAAGGTGCAAAGTCTGGAAGGGAATTTTGATCTGGGAAATGGGGGTGCAAAGTAGGAGGGTTTGGATGATGACCTGAAGCTGGGGAATGGGGTGCAACATTGGGGAGGGGATACAGGCTTCTGACTTGGCAGAAGGGTGTAGGAGGGGATATGGGGTATGGGAAGGAGTTGTAAACTAGGGGAAGAGGGTGCAGAGGGTTTGGATGCTGACCTGGGGGAGGGAGTTGGCATGCAGGAGGGGCAGAGGTGCCAGAGGCAGACTCTAGCTGGAAGGCACTTACCTAAGCATCTCCTGGCCAGCAGCCCTGCCGCACTTCCAAGGCAGACTAGACTCAAGCCCCAGATCACTTAATATTGCAGGCTGTTCTCTTCAGGTGACTCTCAGCCACTGCTCCCATTTCCCCCATTGCTGAAGGAGCATAAATGTATGGTATTTTTGAAAAGTATTGATTATCTTTTAAAATGCTTCTAAATTACAAGTTTCTTATGTACCTTTGTTTTATAATTGTTTCTTTTGACATCTCTGGCTTATCGCTCATATACAGTAAAAATATCTTTAGAGAAGTGAAGGCAAGATGGTGCATGTGGGGGTTATTTAAAGAAAATAAATGTAACTATCTAAATAGGTATTTTGACTTGTGCTTTCTTAAGCTGAATTTGAACTTCTTAAATAAAGCGAATAACACTGAAGAGCTGTTATTTTCCTTTTCTGTATCATGTTTGGTTTTTTACAATTTACAGATTCGGTGGTAAGCATTTGTTAATGGGATTATTTTTTAAGATTTGAAACCCATCTAACATTCTTGAGCAGTTAAATATATTTTCATTTGACTCTTTTACAGTTGCCGTAAATGAGGAAGGGTGTGTGTGTTGTGTATGAGTGTTTGGAAAGCAGAAAAGTTGCACACTTAAATGAACAGCTTTTTTCCACTTGCCACACAGATTTGGAGTTAAGGGAAGCAGATATATAGATATAGATATAGATATAGATATAGATATATGACTTTGAAAAATTGCATTCTGTCTTATTGGATCTAGATATAGGGCAGATTGTTAGCTGGTGTAAATTTTCATAGCTCTACTTAAATCAGTTGACAACTTGAAATCAGAGTTCATCATTACATTAGTTTTACTTTCTGTGAGAAGTCTCTCACACATTGTTAATTTAATAAATTGAAAAAAGCTAAGAAACTGTCAAATACAACAACATTTAATTTTGATAGTAATGGGGCATTTTTTTATGTAAACTGAAGTATTAAGAGTTGCTACCCTTTTTAAAAAATAGGTTCAGAGATGGAGTCAGAAGAAAGGACAACCATCAGAAGCGAACAAAAATCGAGGTAAATATAATGGTAACTAGTGTGAGAGAGATCTGGAGGGCAAGAGAAAGTAGGGGATGTCTGTTACTTGGGGATCACCCAAAGGTTAAGGTGGGAGTGAAGATGAACTTTAAAGATTCCAGATGCACCTTTGTGAAAAGGTAGAGATCATATTTGCTGCTTTAGTCTTCCAAAATTTTAGCATACTGTTTTACTTCCCTTCCTCCTTTTTTTCTTCTTCCTACTTATTTAGATTTTAATCCTCAAAATAATTCATATAGGCAGATTCTTACATTGCCTTTGAGTTCTGTAGATTTAGTGGAACTCTAGGAGAATAAGGATCCTCCCATTTGGACCCCTTTGAGGATTGGGCCTCACTATTCTGCAAAATGACATGGAACTTTTTTAAAGTATCTGTATGAGAAAGCTCAATAAGTTTGTAAACGTGCAAAAGTCAAGGACATGAACAAAAAGGATTTCTTGAGTTAATTACTGTCCTTGATGGTCTCCCTTTAAGGACAACATGAAAATATTTGCAGTATAGGCTATCACAACAGAGTAAGAACAAAATTAAGATAGAAGGTTACTGTATAAAACTACCCGATAACCCTTTCATATTTTTAAATTTTAAAAATAACAGGGGTGCTCAAAAGCATGTGAACTTTTGTAATTTTTTCCATTGCCAGCATATTTCATACTTGGTTAAGCTGTTATTGCAAAATAGGTAGCAGGTATGCCTGGAGGAAACAAACCGTTTGTGTGGGCTGTTGCAGAAAGGAGAGTATAAAAGCAGTATCTTATTTAGCGACTTGCCTAGTAGTTGCTGTACCTCAGGGAGTTGCTTATAGATTCAGCTAATGTGACCTAGAAAGATCCCATGTCCAGCAGTGATATAATGGCTGTTTTTAAGAGTTAAATATTGTAGACCAAATTTAACGTTGAATTATTGTTTGAGGTCTTCCCAAGTTATTGAAATATATTCCATCTTTCTATCAAATAATCATATCAATTTTTCCTTAAATTTGTAATAAATTAGCATATTATGTAAATAATCAGACCTTTGTAGAGTCTGCTTGTGGTAACTTTTTATATACTGGACTGTGTACAGTTTTAGCAGAAAAAATGGTCTTGAAGTTTGCCTGCTTGAAGCCATGATTAATGAGAAGCTACGCAATTTCAAATAAGGAAATTTCAGAAGGAAATTTCCTTAATTTCTTGAAATAAAGGTGCATCTACAAAGCAGGGCTTAACTTGAAATAAGCTACGCAAATTGAGCTACGCTAATTGCGAAATAGCTTATTTTGAAATAGGGAGCATCTACACAGCGCTTATTTCGAAATAGAGCCCTCTTCCTCTGATTTCCCTTACTCCTTATACAATGAGGGTTACAGAAATTGGAGTAAGAAGTCCTCTAGCTCACCATTATTTTGACATTTTGAAAGAACTACCTGCTGTGTAGATATGGACTAAGTTATTTCAAAATAACGCTAATTATTCCGAAATAACACTTTTGTGTAGAGGTACCATAACTGAAAATGAGGCTTCTGTCCCTCACTAATTCTGTCCATCTCTTACCTGCCTTTCTGCAATCAGGGATGGTGTTGGGCTAACGGAAACGTTTCTTTACAAAGACCAGTTTTACTTTTGAGTTTTGCAGAAAGTCTCCCCCTCAAACTTGCTGAAAATTCTTTGCGCTTGTTGCATAGCTAGTATCTAGGGGCAGCTCATGCAGGCAGCATTGTAGGTGAACTTGTGTTTAGAAAGCTTCATGCTTCACATATTCTTAGAGGAGATAACTAATTGACCTTAATCAGAAAACAGCCCAGAGAGGTTTCTAAGGGAAGATGAGCATGTATGTTACTATCTTGCACACCATATCTGTACATAAATTTACTGTCAGTTGCAACACTTGATTAACATACAGATGTGGATGAACTAGAATTTTGTTCCTGGTGTGTCTGTATTTAGTAGCTTTTAGAGTATGTCTACATCCCTCTGACAAAGAAAGCCTCTGTCAGCCGATCCTGTAAATCTCATTTTATGAGGCATAAGGGATCAGCCGACAAAGGCTTTCTTTTTTGTCTGATCCCTGTCTTGACAGCCGCTTTTTGCCAACAAACTGCTGACTTGGCAAAACACTGTGGCCATTTTCATTCAAATGAAGTGTGGGAAATTTAAATCCCTGCTTCATTTGCAATATTGGTATGTCTAATTTACATCCCTCTGGCGACAAAGGGATATAGTCTAGACATACCCTTACGGGTACAATGAAGCACTGCAGAAGGGTTGACTGGGTGATTCAAAGGATTGGTGATTGTTTCATTTCTAGATTGGCAGTTTAAATCCAACTAAGCATTTTAGTGAGCGAAAGCTGTTACCATTTTATGGTTAAGTAAAAGTAAATTATGTGAAATTAATTTGGTTTGAGTACAGTTCTTGGTCCTAAATCTCATCATTACCCTTTCCAATAATTGTCGCACTGATTGCAGTTACAGCACACAGGCCAAAGACAGAATGGGTATGAAACCTTATACTACTCTCTCATCCTAGAAGTGGTCTGTGCAGGGTTGAGATATATTGATCTGTCTGTCCCTTTGAGAAACCTTGTGCTCTTGCTCCTTGTGCTAACGTTATGTTGTGAAACAACATTTCTACTCTAGGGCTGTCCATTTGGCACTTTTTACCGCACTAGTAGCTCACATGGACACACTAAATTACTCTTCTGTCAAAGTCCTAAGATACTTTGACAAGATAACATACAGTGTGTAAAAAAGTAGATCTTCTGTTTTTATTTTAGGAAGATTTTAAAAAGTCTAATAAGGAAGCAACCTGGGGACCTTCTTTTGGTAATTGGAACCGGAATAAGTGCTGCTGTAGCACCAGGAATACCAGCACTGTGCTCATGGAGGAGCTGTATTGAAGCTGTCATTGAAGCAGCTGAACAGCTGGAGGTGCTTCATCCAGGAGATGTTGCTGAATTCCGCAAAAAAGTGATCAGAGACCGAGATTTGCTTGTAGTTGCACATGATCTTATAAGAAAGATGTCACCAGTGAGTGTGTATATATTATGATAGTAGTAGTATTCATAGATTGTGAGCCCTTTGGGGGAATAAAGAGTGTAGGAATTACTGCCGTATAAATATTATTTTACTTGCATGAATTTGAATGTTTTATTTCAAACTTCTCTGGAAACTGGAAGCAGATTGTATTGTCAAGACATCTGCTTGTGTTCTGCTAGGTCAGTGGTGTTTTGAACTCATATAGGAATTTATAGCTTTGCTGACCTAAACTAGAGATTGCACAGAAGTGTTGACTGTTCATGACACTATTGATAGCCTTATGTCTTACAAGACTACTATTGTGTCAGCTCCATTTATTTCAAATATGGGGAGTCCACACATGTCCAATAGGCATTTTTTCCACTGATTTTGTGATTGAGGAGATGTCTTTGCCACTGATTTTGTGATTGAGGAGATTTCTTTGGAAGATCTATTAAAAACAGCCTGAAGTTTTTCAGCAAAATGATGCACTGATATGTGCAGAGAACACTCAGGACTCTGAAATACAGAGGGAGGGTTGCAAACCTATAGAGAGAGATAGTAAGAATAATACTCGCATCTTCTCAGGGGAAATCCTGCCTATACAGATGGGCTTTGCAGCTCTCCCTAAGGGTTAACGAATTCTGGTTTGGTTGAGCAGCAAAAGTGATTTCCTGGAACAAGGGCTCTGCAAGCACACCTCAGATTTTAAATTCAGGGAACGGTAACTTTTGACCTCAAGCAGTGACAGCACTTGTGATTTCCATTGAAGCTAGGACATTAACTATATACAGCTTCTAAACATGAACATCAAGACATCATGGGCATTAACTAAAAGCTTGAGTGGAGCACAGTTTAATATTTCAGTTTGGAAGTGACAGAGGAAGGTGTAAATGTGGCAAACTACAGAAGAGATTTCCCCCCTCAGGCCTATGTACAGGGATGTGTGAAGCTATTCAAACTTATGGCTTGAAACATCAGAGATGACATTTTATATGGTGTAGAAGCTGTCTAAATACAATAATTTTAGTAAATACTTTGTAAAGAAAAGTATGGGACCAATGGTTAAGGACAATTGATGTTAACTTTAACCACACAACATGTTTCTTTCTTTTTTTTTTTTTTTCAGCGAACAGGTGATACCAAGCCCAACTTTTTCCAGGATTGCTTAATGGAGGTGTTTGATAACTTGGAACAACACATTCAGAATCCTGTTGTTCTGCAGTCAATCCTTAGGCTAATGGAGAGAGGCACTATGGTCCTTACAACAAACTATGACAATTTACTAGAGATTTTTGGTCAACAACAGGGTAAACCCATGGAGTCTTTAGACTTGAAAGCTAAGGATAAGGTATGATAAAGCAAAGAAATGTCAGGACTTCTTACAAGGGAAAGGAGTTGTTTTATATTTTTGTGGGTTTTTTACTAGTTACTGATTGAAAATCTTGACTTATAAGGATGTTAAGAGATGGGTAATTGACTAATCATGTAGTTGAGACAATTTATATCAACTACACAATTACTCAAAAAGGGAAGGGCTCTATTCCAACTTGTGCCGGTGGTCCAGGAGCTACCCCTACTGTGGCTTTGTAGTTTAAATATAATATGAGCCGGGCATGCAGGCAGCCCGGCTCCTACTACATTTAAACTGCAGAGCTGCAGCAGCAGTAGGTCTTGGACTGGCGCATGCCAGGACTGCCGGGTGGCTTTTACTACATTTAAAATGCAGAGCCACAGTAGTCCTGGACTAGCACGAGCTGGGCTTGCTTGGTCCCAGCACAAGCTGGATACAGCAGCCCCTGTCCACAATGGGTCCCAGCATGGGGCTGGGAACCCCCCTCCACGGAGAGGAGCTGCTGTTGGAGCAGCCTCTGTTTGTGGCTAGCCCTGGCTGCTGTGAGCTGGGGCTGCGCTGGCAGCAGACTTGGTTCACAGCCAAGGGCTGTTCTGCAGGATGCGCAACAGCCTCTGCTTGTGGTGAACCTGGGCTTCCCCACCACCCCGCACTGCTGCCTCTGATAGAGGCAGCATTATGGAGACAGTGCTGGAGGAGACTAGCTTTTAAGCTGGCTTCTCCCAGCACCGGCTCCTGTTCACCTCTCCTCCCCTGCCCTTGCTGCCTGTGATACAGAAACAGCAAGTGGCAGGGAATAAGGTAGTTGACTTGACTACTTGATAAGTTTAGGCTTATTAGGTAATAGACTACTCGCTTACATTCCTAACTTATAATTTCCTGTAAAGCTTTTCAGTGAAGTTAAGTAATAGACATGGACAGAAGGCTATTTTCATTGTCTGTTTTGAATAACATGATACAATTTACTAGAAAATCCCAATAGTGGATGTCCTATCTACAGCAATAGTTGAAGTGGATAAAGTAGTTGTAACAATCACAAATGTAACAATATAGTGAGGTGATTAACTCATCACTCATACACAGGAAAGGAAGACTCAAAGATGTCGACAGATGTGACATTTTTTCTATCTGCTTTACTTTCATTGTGTTATGTTTTTTTTATAAAAGCTAGAACACTCTTGGTCAATTAAAATAAATTTCTTTTGATCAAAAGAGCAAAAAGCCTTTAAAAAGTTATTGCTTATAATGTATACTGTAAAATTATGAGAATACTAACATTTTGAAACACAAGTGCCTAATATGTAGATTAACGTGTTTTCTGTAATTTATACAAGTGGTGGCTAATATTGTAAACATGGTACACAAAGGCCACTGGTACAAAAATATACAGTTCCACCTTTTTAAGTTAAGGTTGGACCTCCCTGGTCTGGCACCCTTGGAACCTGAACTGTCCCGGACAAGGGAATTTGCTGGATCAGGGGAGGTCAGTGCTCACCTACTGACTGCCCCGGGGTTCCTGTTCTTGGGGATCCCTGCTCTATCGCTGGACCAGTAGGGCTTCTCACCCTGCTGCCCGCCCACTGCTTCAGGGTTCCCTGTGGGGACTGTTTGGCTGCTGCCGAATGGCTGCCGCAGATTGTTCCCCAGAGTTCCTGGCTGGGGCTGCCCAGTCCCCCCGCCCCTCAGCTGGGGCTGCCCTGCCACACCACTGGGGAATCTGTGTGTTCCCTGGTCAGGAACACCCACTTCCGCCAGCCCTGCTTCAGGTGGGGGGTTCCCTGGCAGAGGCAGGCCCTGCTGCTACTAAGAATTTCCCAGAGTTCCTGGCCAGGGCCAACCGGTTGCTGACAGCTCCACTGTAGTCAAGGGTTCCCTGGCTGGGACTCCCCCACCACTGCCTGGCCCTGCTGATGCCACAGATTCCCCAGCCGGGTCAGGAGCTTCCAGGCCGCTGCTTGGCTTTAATGCCAGGGGTTTCTCAGCCAAGGCAGGGGCTCCTCAGCTGTCACTTGGCCCAGCCAGGGCTCCCCAGTCCCTGCATTGTCAACTGGCTTCGGGGCTTTTTGGTCCAGCAACGTCTATGGCATTGCCGGACAAGAGAATCCCGGATTTGGGAGGTTCAACCTGTAGTATATTCAAAAGTAAATACTACATGCATAATTTGCTTTAGGTTCTTCAGTGGGCAAGAGGTCATATAAAGTACGGAGTTCTTCATATTCATGGCTTGTATACAGATCCCTGTGGAATGGTGTTGGATCTTTCAGGATTTAAAGATGTTACTCAAGACCCTGAAGTAATGGTATGTGTGACTTTAAAGCCAAGAACATTCTATGTATTGCCAAACTGAGTTTTCCTATAGAGTCTGCAGGCATGTTGCCTTGGGATGTATTTGCATTCGATCTTCTAGATTAAAAATAACTGTGTTTCTGAGTTGGAAGCATTCAAAGAAACCCCCACAAGGCTGCCTGAAATATTGGTGGTCAGAAGGCTGTTCTTTCCAAGCCATCAAGCCAATCCTTCAGTATGGTATTAGAAAACAATACCCCCTTGTGCTGTCTTTTGGATGAGACATAACCAAGGTCCTGACCAATATTCTCTCTTTATGTCCATGTGCGGCATAAAGGTTTGTGCACCAGTATGGAGGTGATGTGTGACACAGAACATCCATATTGGTGAACATCCCAAAAATCATTCTGCACATGGATAGTGTGTTGCCGGGTGGACTGAGGGGTTAATTGTGTAGGGGAGTCAGGGCTGGGACACATGGTTGGGGGTTGTGTGTGGGGGGTAAGGGCTCTGGACGAAGGTGCAGGTTTTGGGATATGGCATGAGAGTCTGGATGTGTTGGCTCAGGATGCTGCAGGGAAGTGCAGTTCATCAGAGTGGGGGTTGTACTGGATAAGGCATAGCAGGTATATTTGGGTAGGGGAGGTCAGAATGCCCAGGAATTGGGTGGATGGGGGGAGCAGCTCCCCATACAGTGATCCTTCCCCCCCACAGCTGAAGAATGACGAGGGCAGGAAGCATGGGAGGATGCTAAACATCCAGCTGGGGGAGGCTTTTGGGGGTGGGTCACACACAAGCTCAATCCCTCCGTGCAGGGTAAGAAGAAGTCCTCTCCTGATTCCAGCCCAGTTCAGGGTAGGAATCACTGGTTGGGGTGTCACTCTGCCAGCAGCTCTGGGTTCTTGAAACGATGTACGTACGCTGGTAGGGAGGGTGCATGACTGCTTTTCCAGCTTCCCTTTGCTTTCCTGTCAGTCATTTTTCTGCAGGAAATCTGCAGGGGACATGATTTCTGTGCATGAACAGTGATGCAAAATTCCCCCGGGAGTAATATAAAGATTCTTCCTATGTAATTTTTGGAACCTTATGTTTTAATCAAGTCTGGATCTTTACTTTCCAACTTTGAATAACTGGACTTTTTAATGCTCATGTCATATTTGGAATAGTAAGGAAAATCAATCTTTTCAGAATATTCACACTTTTTGCAGATGTAGTTTAGGATAGTATCTTATCTCATAATTATTGCTTTTGTTTCTCAAAATATGGTTACAACTTAAGGCCATGATCATCCAAAGATCTGCAAATGTACTTACCATCATATTACTAGTAATCCCATTGATTTCTATTACATAATTCCTTGTGGGATCATAGTATAGATAAAACTTCTTGGAATTGCAAAATAATTATGAAGTGTTTGTTTGTGTAAAACAAATCCTTACCCCCTGTTTAGTCTTCCTAATTCCATTTCTTCTGTTATGTGAGAGATTTGATTTTTTTTTTAACTTTGACCTGTGTGTCTTTGGCCAGATGGTTAACTTTTTTTTTGTCATCTTAACATTCTTAATAGGAGATTCTTCAGAACTTGTACCGGACCAAATCCTTCTTGTTTGTGGGCTGTGGAGAGACACTTCGTGATCAGATATTCCAGGCTCTCTTTCTATATACTGTAAAGAATAAAGTAGATTTAGAACATTATATGTTGGTGCTTAAAGAAAATGAAGACCATTTTTTTAAACTCCAGGCAGATATGCTTCTGCATGGAATAAAAGTAGTATCCTATGGCAATTGCTTTGAATATTTTCCAGAGTACATCCAAGATCTAACTGCTCAAATCTGTAAGCAGAGGAGTCCAGGTATTTTGTGTGTGTTTGTTTTTTTGTTACAATGAATTTGTGTGTGCACACTACTGATACCTTCTTTGTACAAGTGACACTTGATTTGAGATGTTAATCTAATAGGTATAGTTACAACTGCAGGCATGAAAATCTCTGCTTCTGATTGACATGTGGAGTAGGAGCATATCATGACAAAATTATAACTAAATTTTTGTACTTTCAGATGTTTGGATTCCTTGTAAATTTACCATTAGCTTTGATTTTTCTGCTTGCTTATTGTATTTGCTAGTTATAGTGTTCTTTAAGGATTTTTTACCATTAAGTTATTTGTGTATTCTGAAACTTCACTTTCTTAAGAGCAGTTCTCCAGATAAAATACTCAATTGTAAGCATTAATAGAGTTCAGATCTAACAAAAGTGGTTAAAAGGGTATATGAATCGATTCATGAGGAGAGCTAACCATCAAATATGTATAGCTTCACTAAGCATAAAGTTGGAACATGAAATACAAGTGTGTTGGTGTACACGAAAGATTCCGATAGTGTATGACTAAGACTATGTCTAGACTACATTCCTCTTTCAAAAGAGGAATGTAAATGAGGCAAATTGAAAGTGCAAATGAAGCACCCATTTAAATATCCTGTGCTTCATTTTCATAGTCGCGTCCGAGCGCTTTTTCGAGAGGGTTTTTTGAAAGTGAAGTGCAGACTAGACGGGGTTCTTTCAGGGGAAAAAACGACCGTTTTTCAAAAGAACCTATATTCCTCATTTCTTCAGGAATACAGGTTCTTTCAAAAAAGTTTTTTTGTGTGAAAGAATCCCATCTAGACTGTGCTTCACTTTTGAAAAACGCTTTCTCGAAAAAGCGCTCGGACGTGATTATGCAAATGAAGCGCAGGATATTTAAATCAGTGCTTCATTTGCACTTTCAATTTGCTTCTTTCGAAAGAGAAATGTAGTTTAGACGTGGGGTAAGTAATAAAGGGGAGAGGGGAAGAGCAACAGTGCGAAACAGACTTAATCTGAGCATTAGGAAAAAACTGATAGAATAAACTAGGGATGTAAGCAACTAGTCAACTATCTGATAGAACATATGATTATCGGATAGTCGACTCAACTAGTCGCTCCCTCCTCCCCCTCCCTTGCTGCTTCTATCAGAGAGAGGCAGCAAGGGGGAGGGAGTGACTAGGTGACTATCCTGTTGACTATCTGATAAGCATTTGCTTATTTA